ATAGCATTAAATTGAAAGATAGTTTTTCCTCAATATCGGAAAAATAGTTATTGCATGTAAAGTAGAGTACTGATTGTTTAACGCAGACAGTTGGGAACGTTCTGTGCCATGAACGTCGTCAAACAAGGTGTATTCTCTTCTGCGTAAATTATAAGGTGATCTTTCAACTAATTTAATTTTGACTCAAATTTGAATTTGCTAAGGAAAACGTACAGTAGTAAATTTAAATTATTAACTTAGTTAAGAGTGGTATTTCACAAAAAAAATATTCATTTGGATGTAAATAGCCTCGTGTGAAGCAAAAAAAAGGGAGCATGACGTTATGAGGGATGTAAATTACGCTTGCTTTAGTGTGCTGATGTACACTTACATGGTTTCTTTATTTTTTTAGTTTTCTTATTAAATGTAGTATCATCATGAAACTTGAAATGCATGATCATACCATATTACTCTTTGCTATGACAAGAAAAGAAATTTGATTTAGCCAAGAAAAAATAAACTATGTTCCCTGTCTACGACTTTTTGGGACAACCCTCGTATATACATGTCTATGAATGAGACATAATTCCTGAATTCATAGATTCTGAAAGTCCTCTTAAACTCATTTTAATAGAAATTTAAACAACTATATATGACATACAAAAAAAGATTCACGTTCATATTTAGGTCAAAGAAAAAACTCATGATCAGAATATGTCTTGTTGCAGGGTAAATGCCTTCTACATGTAAGGGATTCCAGCCATGGCTGACAGTACATGCTACCATGCACGATTTGGGAGGAGAGTCAAAGTGAAGACAAACTAAGGATCAGGTAAAACTTTAGTCTTGATATTCACTACACATGTTGATTCAAATAATATTTTTTTTACCAAGACTTAATTTGAATACATGAAGTGGTTTGTGAAATTATTAAATTTACTTTTGAATTAATTAAATTAGGTCATAAAGTTAGAAAAAAGGCTTCATGTAGAAGACTTCTTAATTTATTGAACATCTTATTGATTAGGTTGATTGATTGATTGATTGTATACTGTTTAACGTCCCTCTCCAGAATATTTCACTGATATGGAGACGTCACCATTGCCGGTGAAGGTCTGCAAATTTAGACCTATGCTCGGCACGTACGGCCTTTGAGCAGGGAGGGATCTTTATCGTGCCACACCTGCTGTGACACGGGGCCTCGGTTTATACGGTCTTATGCGAAAGACCGCCCCATTTAGTCGCCTTTTACCACAAGCAAGGGGGTACTGAGAACCTATTCTTACCGAAATCCCCAAGGGGTCTTATTGATTAGAAGAGGAAAAGATGCACCTCTACATTTTATAATATCAAATGCATGATTTGTGAATGCATTTCCAGTATTTTTTAAGAGTTTTGATTATTATCCATCATTTCATTAATTTTTTAACAATAAGGCTGATTCATATGTTTTAATATCTTTTCTTTTTCTTTTCATGTGTGCAAGGAGAGCCAGACAGTCGGAAAGCGATCGCCTCTCAGTTGTGTGTTCAGTTCAGTTGCAGGTTGGCTATGGTAGATCGGCGTTTTCCTTAGGCCTGTGCTGTATTGTCATTTAGTTAAGCTGGCAGTCCTTTAGGATTTTGTCTCCATATCAGGATCATGTGCTTTGAAAAGATGACCAGGAGTTCCTTTCTCAAACTCTTTTTTTTTCAAATCTAATCAAATTTCCCTATCCTGACATTTGTTATCCAGAGAAAACTTAATTAGCTATGTTTTAATTTTAAAAGCATGTTTGAAGAATTTTTAGGAATTTATTTGTTTTAGCTCACCTGAACCAAAGTGTGACATGATTTTTTTTTATTTAAATTCATTCATTGTTGTAAATGAAAACTATATTTACTTATTTGAACTTTTCTCCAGAACTCTTAATTTTCAACCAAACTTTGCATAAAGTTTTATTGAATAGCAGGAATTTAATTTCTCCTTCGAATGGACATACAGTGTAGTTCCCTGTAATTATTCACCTACAATAATAAATAACTCGGATGACTGTTAAGGACTCTGGGCTCTTTGTTTTGTCAAAAATGGATCATTGGAGAAGGTTGAGGGTAAAAATCTCTCTGGGCAGAGTAGGGTCACCAAATTGGGTCAGAAGTTAATTTATTGCAATAGGTAGTTTTTTTTTAAACTTTTTTCAGAATAATATGAAACGGGGAGAGTTATGACCAAATGGGCTTTTAAGCAATGGTTCTCTGTCTTTGATTCTGGTCACTGATGCTAAAAATTAGTTTTTGAGGGATCTGGTGCCCGTTAACCAATGTGAGGGTACCAGTCTAGCCTTTTTTTTAGCACTTTAGTGCATGCATAAAAGTTCTTTAAATTAAAAGAAAAGAATTTTTTTTCTGCCAGGCAGTTGAAAATTATCTGTATGTTATAAATGTATTTTAGAACAAATTACAAAATTATAAAAGTTAATAAGAATGTCAATTGATTAAAAATTTGACACAATCTCTGGTCTTTCAAATATTTATATTTTATGAGTTATGAAATGCATGTAGATAGATCATTAACAAAACTTTTTATGTTAAGTATGTTGTCTACATGAAAATCTTATTGATGAACAGATATTACATGCACATGCTTTTGTAAACTAATGCACAAACAGGGGATAATATAAATACATGTGCATATTTGTATAAAGGTCAAGATTATTACAAATTAATTTAAAATAATTATCTTATTTGAAGAATCAAACAATTTTTAACAGTTAATTTCATGTATCTTTTTATTCAGCATATGTATGTATGTATGTAATCATAATAAAAATATTATAAAATTAAAATATGCTTATTCTAATTTTATATTGGTATGTTTATCAAGATAAATTGATATTCTGCTTGTATAAATATCTACCTATGTTGTTTAAAATTTGATAAGTTAACCTAAAAATTAAAATATATTGTGAAATTCTGAGACCTTCCTTAATTAGGAATTTAATTCTTTGAACCTGCATGAATGTTAGCCTAGTTCACAGTATGTCAGTCATGTATATATTTCAGCGTATCCTCTATATAATTCATAATCACATTCACGTTTGGTTTGTCCCCTCCTTTTAGGTGTAGTCATAAAAAAAATGTTATTCTTAATGCACATAAGAAAATTTTATAATCATTTGAAGATCTGCAGGACCAAGTTGACTCGGATGAAGTTAAAGGCTATTGAGTTCTAAAGTTTTTGTTCATGATTAAATTCAAATTGCGGCCTTGGAAAAGAATGACCGCACTTAAGGACGTTATTTGGAACCTTTTTGGCTCTCCATTTGAAGCTTCTGATCATAATGTATCGCTAAACTAATAAATGGTTATTTTGCATGTATATGCTTTTGATATATACAGATATGTCTCGATTTTACAGTCATATATACTTCTATAAGTACATACAAAGCTTTTGAAAAGAACATGTATGAATTATAAATTCCGGAGAATTGAACTGGACAGCTTTAGATTTTAAGGTAACAGCAAAGGGGCGGAGACATTTGAATCGCATGAAAATGGATAATGGATCATATAAGCATATGGTTTTCCGTATTTTAAGCTATATTATATATGAAAAAGGCGGAGAGGACTGTTTTGTGTTCATTGTGTGCACACAAAAAAAATGATATATAACCATTCATATAATTTAATTAATTTTTATCCACGTAAGTAAGTAAGTAACTGTAATTTATTTAATGACATTTGTGCATAATTATTACATTCTTTTGTTTACAGAATTTATAAAATAATAATCAACACCCGGCCCATCCGGCCTATATGCCATTTTAAACACAAAAATTAAATACAATTTATATAGAAAATAAAGAGCACACCACTAAGAGAAAAAATAAATAGTTCATAAAAATAAATAAAATTGTGATAAATGTATATGCATCTTTGGCATCAGAAGCAAATTGAAAGTGGGGGGGGGGCTAAGTAAAATAGAATTTAAAATAAACCGACAAGCAAAAGAGGGAGAGGGGTAGTCGAGGTTCTTTTAGTACCAAATTTTCTTCCAAATACTACTACTTTCCAACTATTTTCCCTTTATTTTGCCTTTACTTCAACGTGTCTATGGGAAGTGGGGGAGGGGGATAAACTTACACCGCATTGTTTAATGTGCCTATGCTATGCCTATTGTTGCAAAAAAAAGTGGAGTAGGTGGATTCAGTCCCTCGGTTCCGATGCCTATGTGCATTTTGTATGCTTAAGTTGGTAATGTCTGTTTTAAGAATTTTTGGTAGATGAAATGACACTGAAATACATTTTTATTTTCTGAACATACAGGACTGTCTTCGCATAAATGAAAAATACTTAGCAACCTGCCTATAGGATAATTTGAAATAAGTACACTCAGTAAATCCATATCTGGTCATGCCATTTGATTATTGCCAGAGCTTTCAAAAAGTTTTGATCAGTATTACGAGTACAAAGGACAATGCATTAAAAATGAATTTCGTCTTCTACATTATCAAGCACTACAAAATTTTCCCTTCCAAACGTTGTTTTAAATGTTTAGAATCTCACTGCTCATGTATTTGTTGTCAAGCAGCGAATCGTACCTACAGTGTATTAAAAAAATGACATTTTCCCTTTGTCTTAATTATTAGTAACGTAAAAATAAGTAAAAAGTTTAGTTAACCACCTCAGATATTTATGATGTACCAATAACAGTGTCTTATAATTGGGGAAAAATAATTTCAAGTTCTTTGATTATATTGTTGAAGTAAATTGTATTATGATGTTGCTACAATAAACCATAACTTAATAATTCTTTTGTAATGGCTTTGATCAGTATAGCCCCATCAAGACCTTTCAATTGAAATGCAAAGTTCTTAAAATTCTTCATATCTTCACATAAGAGCTATAAAATTAGGAACTTTCGATATAGTATATTAAGACTAGAAGTACTGTGAGCAATTAGCTCACAAAATGATACCCCCAGCCTCCCATAATTATGGTGTCACAGGGTGGCTGGCGGCTTCCCAAAATCACAAAGCAATTTGTATAAAATAGTTTTTATTACAGATATTTACAAATACTCGCGAAGTATAACTGTCTGAATGGCTCACTGGCTGAATGGCATGAATGGTACAGATGGCATAAGTGGCCTAAATAAATGGGGCCTATAAAATAAAACAAAGTTAGATACAGACATATTATAATTAAACATTGCTCACACTTGTACATTTTGCTGTACATTTACTTAGGTGCATTTTACTGCATTACACTTTACTTAGTTGCATTTTACTGCACTGTACTTATACTTCACTTCACTTCATACTACTTTACTTTATAGAACTTTTACGTTCACACATAAACTAAGTGTACTACTTGTAGACAACCACTTTAAGACGAATACTATACGCCATACTTTATACATACAACACATACAACACTACGTCTACATTATACATATACTCATACACTTATACTTTTACTTATAACACATATACTTTACATGAGCAAATACTACTTCGAATAAAATTATAGAACAAAGTTCTCTAGCCATTTCAGGAATTAAAACCGTCAATAAATCATACAGTTAACGATAATGAATAAAATACACTGACCCAGAATAGGTGGACCTCTGGTCATCAAATATTAAAACATTAAACAAAAATAAGGTAGAAAGTTGAGCAGTCTTAGACACTTCTGCTCTCTGCAATTGCTACGCCCAATCTGATTTCACGGGATTTAAATCACCAGGTAAAACCTGCTAAACAAGCTTAAAAGTATGGTTAACATATTGGGCAAATAATATTGGTAATATAGAATACAGATAAAATATATGGAATTCAAATACGGACATCAATTGTGACAAATGGTTATAATGGTAAAGTACATGTATTGCTCTGGACGGGAAACCTAAAATATGTGTCGGATCAAAACGTCATAACAAAAAACGTTAAGCTACAACAACCACTCCACGAACTAACCCCAAATGTACTTACTTTGATTTTATGAATAAACGTTTATACAACACATATTACATTCCTATAGAGGCAAAATATTGCCTCTATACAGGGCTACAAACACTACCCTCCATAAATAAGTATCCACTGTTATTTTTTCACTAATTTTAAATTTAAAAAAAGCTAAAAAGTCTTTAGAATATTTGTAATTGTCTTTTATAGAGAGAGATAACCTATACTGAGCATCGTAACAAAAAGAATCCAAGGAGAAATTAAATTTTTAGACAAAAATTTATTAACATCATTTATTTTGGGAAACTTATTCTCAATATTATTAAATGGTATTTATATCATAATAATACCAGACATTTATTTGCCTACTGGTATTTAAAAGAAAAATAAACATTTAAATAAAGAATTTTAATACCAGTAACCTCTTATAACATGAAAAATTAGATATGATTGGAAAAAATAAATTTAAACAAGAGGCCCATGGGCCACATCGCTCACCTGAGCACTGTGGCTAGGAAAAAGCAGAATTGGTTTAAACTTAAAAAGCTTAAATCCAAAAGTAGCCCCAAGACCAATCATGGCTTTGCTATTCTCGAGAAGAAGATTTTTAAAGGATTTTCCTATACATTTCTATTTAAAACTTTGGTCGGCCATTTTAGGCCCGCCCTACCCCTAGGGGTCATGATTTGAACAAACTTGAATCTACACTACCTGAGGATGCTTCCATATAAATATGATGAATTATGGCTTGGTCATTCTTGAGAAGAAGATTTTTAAAGAATTTTCCTATATATTTCTATGTAAAACTTTGGTCGGTTATTTTGGCCCCGCCCTACCCCGGGGGGTCATGATTTGAACAAACTTGAATCTACACTACCTGAGCATGCTTCCATATAAATATGATGAATTATGGCTTGGTCATTCTTGAGAAGAAGATTTTTAAAGAATTTTCCTATATATTTCTATGTAAAACTTTGGGCGGCCATTTTGGCCCCGCCCTTCCCCCGGGGGTCATGATTTGAACAAACTTGAATCTACACTACCTGAGGATGCTTCCATATAAATATGATGAATTATGGCTTGGTCATTCTTGAGAAGAAGATTTTTAAAGAATTTTCCTACATATTTCTATGTTAAACTTAGATCGGCCATTTTGGCCCCGCCCTACCCCCGGGGGTCATGATTTGAACAAACTTAAATCTACACTACCTGAGGATGATTCCCCATAAGTTTCATCTTTCCTGGCAAAGTGGTTCTTGAGAAGAAGTTTTTAAAACATGCCACCAAATTTTTATTAATTGCCAATTATCTCCCCTTGAATGAGGGCATGGCCCTTCATTTGAACAAACTTGAATTCCCTTCACCCAAGGATGCTTTGAGGCAAGTTTGGTTGAAATTGATCCAGGGGTTCTTGTGAAGAAGTCGAAAATGTGAAAAGTTTACAGACAGACAGACAGACGGACAGACGGACGCCGGATAAAATGTGATCAGAAAAGCTCACTTGAGCCTTCGGCTCAGGTGAGCTAAAAATTAGAAGATGGGGCAACTGACGTTAGAAGAAAGGATTCTTTTCAACCTGCTGCATCAACAAGAAAACACGGTATCGGAGATTGCCAAAAAACTTGGAACTGCAAGGTAAGTGAGCACTTTTGACATAATTTAATTTTTTTTTACATATTGCTTAAAGTTACAAAAAAAACTTAATTTCCTTTCCTTTAACAGAAAGACGATTCGGAAAACAATCGGGAGACGAAAGACAACTGGATCTAATGAAGACACTGCACGACCAGGGCGACCCAGGATATCAACAGCCAGAGAAAATAAAGTTCTTGTGAGACAATCTTTGCAGAACAGAAGAGAGACTGTTCCACAGCTAAGGACTGAGAGGATGCAGAATGGAGTCTGTCAAATTATTTAGTATGAAGGCAGTTTTTGGGAACGTTGTTCGCATTATGACTAGGTATTTATATTTTTGTGTCGAGTCTCGGAATAGCAAAATCTTTTTGAGGAAAAATGCAATTCAGGAGATTTTAGTTTGGTCAGAAAATACAAGTTAAATTTAATGGGGTAATGTTAAGAACCATAGACGTATAAGACTTGTTGGAGTTTGAGTTATTCAGTGATGCTTCAGATACAGGTTATGGGGGATATATTATCCTAAAAGGTCAGCTTTGAGACACAGGTTCCCCACAGCAGGTGGGGATTGTGAAAACGTCTGTGATTCTTGGGATACGGAAGAGAATCGTAGGAGTTCAACTTGGCGAGAGCTAGAGGCAGTGCACAGGGTGGTTCATACACATTATGACAGTTTGAAAGGTTCCTCTGTTGCTGTTTATAGTGACAATAAAAATGTTTCTTAAATTTTAAAGGTTGGTAGCAAGAAAGAAAATTTGCAGGTTATACCTTCAGATATTTTTCATTTATGCGATTATAACAAAATTACTTTATATCCGAAATTTATTCCAAGAGATAAGAATCAGAAAGCTGATTTCCTCAGCAGGCAGATAGACAGGAATAATTGGGGCATAGAACTAGAAGTGTACAAAGTTTTGTGCGAGAGATATGGTCCACATGATATTGATGCTTTTGCTACCCGTTACAATACAAAATGTCAGATTTTTATTCAAAGTCATAGTGTCCACGTACAAGTAGCATAGATGCTTTTGAATTTTCTTGGGTAGGGGCTAGGATGTAGCTTGTGCCTCCCCCTTTGTAATTTCTAAGACAATCAAAACATGTTTGTCTGAAAATGTGGTCGGGACATTAGTTGTTCCGAATTGGGTATCAGCTCCGTTTTGGCCTATTTTGCAAAGTTGTATTAATGTTTCAGATAGCTGCATATTGCCAAGAAATTCCATTATTGTGAAGGGTAGATACAGAAAAGGGAAATTTTATAATAATCCTCTTAATTTTGACATGGTTGCATTCAGATTTGATCATTAAATTTTTCTATTTGACAGACATCGGCTTACGAGAAAAAGTAAGAGCCGATGTGGCCGGAAGCGGAGCCGGAAGTGACTTCCTGATCGATCTAGCTGACAAGATGTCGGATTACCTTCTTCAGGGGAAAAGTTTCAATACTATCAAAACATACCATGGGAGTTTCAGAAAATGGAAAATGTTTGCAGAGAAACAGTGGAAAAGATCCCGTTTCGGCCGAGATGTTGATTCGTTTGTGTGATTTGTATGTGAGTTCTAACGACGTGATGATTTTCGTGAGCTTTGCAGCCTTTTTGAGATATGGTGAATTAAGTAATTTAAAATGTTGTGATGTCAAACTTTTTGAAAGCTATTTGTGTATTTACATTAATAAAAGTAAAACAGACCAATACAGACAAGGCAACGAGGTGTTGGTGACATTAGTTTGATTTCAACAGATTTTTTATTTAAACCTGTATTTAAGTCTCATGGTGTTTCTAAATTGATATATAAGAACAAAAAGCTTAGTTACACGGCTGCAAGAGACTAAAAGAAGTTAGTTCAGGGTTAAATCTTGGTTTACATTCACTCAGAGCAGGCAGGGCTACCTCGGCTGTAGCTTCCAATGTCAATGAAAGGTGTATTAAAAGGCATGGTCGATGGAAATGTGAATCTAGTAAATATAAAATACATGGTTACTGTCTTGAAATATAAGCGATATTTGGGCGAGGGTAAGAAAACGTGATAGAGGGCGAAGCTTGCCGAGCCCTCTTACGTTTTCGACCCGAGCCCAAATATCGCTTATATTTCAAGACAGTTATCATGTATTTTGTTTATCCTGCAACAAAATTTTACATTTGAGCGTCCAAAACAAGCTTATTCCGACAGATTTAGGCACATCCCTGCAGTTGAAACTATGACGCCATGGCGTAAACATTGCAGTATATGTGACGTCACAATGCTTTTGGAACGTCGGAATACATGCACGAGGCTTTATTAGGGCAGTGACCGGATAAAGCTTTGGTTTATTAGGTTACCTTTATTAGGTCAATGCAAGGGGTAGTTGCAGGATAAAGATATGTACATAGTAGAGGAATTTGAGAATCGCGTTGCTGTATCTAAAAAATTAGGATTGTAAATGTTATTATTTTTTCATTCCATTTTTTCTCCACCATATCTATGCATTTTTCCTTCGCACCCTAACTTTGGCATTTTTCAATGATATGCTTCCTTGGCTAGTCGGCAAATATATATTTGCGTCTTTCTTTTTGTAAGAATAGAAAAGACTTGATATTTTCCGCGGTACGGAGATTAGCGGAAAATAATCGTCTTATTGATTCGGAAATAATGTTATCCAATAAAATTTGAGGTTTAAACATACGTGACGTGAGTCTATGAGGAGTGTTCGAATAGCACGAGAAATCAGTTCTAGCCGGTCTTTTGAAGAAGACAAGTCAAAATTTATTATAATATAATTGTAATTATATGCTAGATAATTGTTTATCATATATATATTTTTTAGAGGCTGTCATATTATACTATAGGGCAAAAGGTTTCCAGAGGTTTTTCTACTTTGAAAAAGTCAAAAGTTTTTTATCTCTGATTTTTATCCTGGCCATCTAAGTTTCGTATAGATCAATAACACACTAAATAAGGTTTTTTTCATTTATACATTTGCAGTAAAAAGAAGTTATACATGTATATGACGTTTGTTACATGTATACTGTGTTTGAATGTATGTATTATAATAAATTTCCGGCTCCCCGATATGCTTTTCGGGATTGTCGGCAAATATGTGTTTGCGTTTTTCTTTTTGTAAGAATAGAAAAGACTACCCTTTTCTTTTAAAATACCCCGAACAAAAACACTATGGTGAAAGAAGCAAACGTAAACTTTAAAACGTCAATAAAATTTACGCAAGGATCTTCAATATTTTGAAGATGGAAGTAGATACAAAAGCAATTTTCCAACGACTCACACAATAAAAGCGTATCGAACACTTGAATGTCACGTAAGAAAAGTGAGTATAATATAAAACAGGTCACATGGGTTGACACTCCGTGACCTGCTGATTTAGTAGCTTACTCGAGCGTAGTTTGGTACACTTTTTTTTAAATTAGTTATGAGCCGCAACTTGGCCAACATTGTCCTTTGGATATGTATTAGTTTAAGTTTAAAATACGCATTCTGTGCAAATGAGAAAAATGGCCAAGTTGCGGCTTTATGTAAACAATGTCGTTGAAAACTGGTATGCATACGAATAACAATAGAAATGAGACAAAACTGTTAGACCCCCGTCTAGTGTCGCTCGACATTATTTAATACTTTCATTAATATAATATACAAAAACATGCTCTTAAGATATTGTTTAATACATATAAAACATAAATTTAATGAATTTTGGAATTTTGTTTTGCGCAAAACATCGGGATCCAACTCTCATAGCTTATGTGCAGTCATTCTTTAAGCTAATTAAAGTGCAAATTAATTTAATAATCAATCAGTTTATTCTGATGAACATTTAAGTATGAATCATATATATTCAATCGTCAGAGGTTCATTTAAAATATAATTATTATATACTTAAATATTTTACAAGTGCAAGAATAGAGTGGATAGGATAGACATATACCGATAGTAATGTCAGAAAGTTTGTATCTAATGCAAAGAAAAAAACATTCTTGAAATAAATGTAGGTAGTTTTTCTTTAAAGCCGCTTGGTCCGATTCTAATCGCTAAAAAAATATATTCGTTTTTCTTCTTGAAAAATAATTGTCCATAAATTATTTCAACTTTTGTCAAATTATATCCCCAAAGTCTTTTTCTTTTTAAAGATATCAAAATTAAAAAGTTGAAAAAATAATTTTTGTTAGGTCACACAAAAAATAATCCTTTGTTTACATTGCGTGAAATCACCTTCGAAAAATTAAATTTATCGCTTACATGTATAACTCATGAAGAACGAACCCGAGCATTTTTTCCATAACAAAGTGTACACGGGCAATATTCTAGCCCTCGTTACTAAACTCCCTTTTTAAAAAATCTTTTAAAATATCTGATTTTCCTTTATTCTGTAAATATGCATACTAATATAAAAATAACTATGGATTACATTCAGTTACTTAATTTCTTAATTTTTTAAAGATATATCATGACTTAGGATTCTACCAATGGGAAAAAAATACTCGGGTTTGAATTCTCTTCATAATCATATATAACCGATAAAAGTTTTTTTTTTAAAGGTGACTTCAAAACAGATCTTAACTTCCCGTCAGGAACTCCTGCTTGTCAACAAGGATTTTAGTCTATGTTTTCCATGTAAGGATTGTTGTAATAAACTATTAAATCAATCTTGTAATTAATTTTTATAAATTATCTTTGTAATGATATACTTTTATTGTTTAAAATAATATGTGCCTGTTTCGGATGAAGCGGCTTTAAGATTTAACATTGGAATTTGCCATAGGTTCTAGTATATAACAATATTTTGACAATTTCTCTCTTTCTTTTTTGTTTTATTAGGAAGGGTATTAAAGACTTTAGTTGAAATTTTAATTCTGCGTCAGTAAATTAAATGTGTTATATTAGAGAGGACTAATTAAATAAATAATACACAGTTTGTATCTCAATGTATCTTTGAAAATTCAATAGCATTTTTCTGTTAGTACCCCCCCACCCTTTCAGTGGAGTTGTGGAGTAAAGGGTTTTTTTTTTAAATACACTATTTATTTTTATCATTTTATAACCGCGTAGTTTGGGTCTAAAAGATGTGTTGTTGAACGGGCAAGAGGAAATGTTGGCAGGGGAAGTGATTGGCGTCGTTGGCCGGAGGTAGTAGAGCAGTATTCCAAGGACTCTTCCCGATGATACATGTAAAAACTCCAAAGTAACGAGGAATAAGTATGGTTTCCGAATTTATTATAAAGTCCCAACGATGGAAATGACTAACATGGAACAACAATAAACAATAACCAGTTGGATATGGCCATAGCCTCCAAACTGTTAAAAGTAGAAAAAGTTACAGCATGATGGGGGAACGTGTCGGACGTGTGGCCGGTAGTACACCCGGCATCCGAACTGTTAAGTAAAATTTGACAATTGTATTTATGGGAAGATGTACAATGAGTTAAGAATGACAGGTGTTGACAATGAGTAAAAGTGATACAAGGAACAACAATATCAATGAAATACGTACTTTGATGGCATGGACATAAAGAACACCGATCATTAATTAATTACATGTTGTTTGTAAAGGTGATTAAAATGTCCTTGGGCATTAACACTCTGCCTCTTTGGTGTCCGACAAGTGTCACTCAAGTAATTAAATGAACTCTTAGTAATTTAACATGAGAAAGAATGGTAAAATGAAAATTTTAAAACACAATTACTTTAGAATACCAAATATCACATTAAAACAAAAGTTAAGTATAACATTTGGAGTCAAAATTGATTTGAAGTCAAACAGTCTATTTTACACGGTGATAGTTTCCCACCGCTCCGGGAAAAACACGTCCTCGTGTTTTGAAAGAAAAATCGCTACACATAAAGTTTGAAACAAGTTCTCGATTGTCCATAGAAATGCTTTGATGGTAAAAAGTGGAAAAGTCATGGAATTCTGTCACGAAAAATCATCTGGTTTGTATTCAGGCATTAGGTATGATAAATCATGTGCAGTTGTCCAGCAAAGTTGTTTCAAACGTTGAGCATGTTGAACTGGTTGGTCGAATATGTCACGGGGGAACTCGCTAGCTGGAAAGGTTCGGGATCTGACTACTGCAAAATATATGCTGCAGCCCCGTGCGTTGATGCTACCCTTAGGATTTTCCACCATTTATAACCAGTTAGATTTTTGTCATAAGTTGTAAAAGTAATTCCTGGACTAAATCCGTTGTTTTGAGTAAACGGGGAAGAAGGAGTGTTGGCGGGTATAACAAAGTAGTGGCGCTGTGGGGCCGTAAGGTAAAAAGGAAGTATAGGTATGCCGTATTCCCGATATAAAACAAATGATTAAGGATTCCGTATTTATTAGATGAGACTCAACGATGGCAACAGTCAATATAAATCAACAAACAGAAATATTAAAATAAACGAGTCAGATATGACCGAAGTGGCCCCGGACTCAGAGTCTTTACGAGTCGGGCGTGGCCGAGGCTGGCCACCGCTTATTCTAGACTAAAGATTTAAACTATACATGACTATTTATAAGAATATACATAATGAGTAAATAAATGACAAGTGTTGGCATGAAGTAAATGAGTGAAAGATTCACAGGTATAGAATAATTAAATAAACTCAATGACTCTTTGATGTTTGGACATGAAAAACATAATTACACAATGTTGTTAAAAGAGATTAGCATGAGACATAGCACTCTGTCTCACTGTAATAATAACATATCAATAGTCCAAAAAGTGTCACTGGCCAATTAACAATTAGATTCATGAAACATGTCGTGAGAAATAAAATATGACAAAAACTATGAAATTAAAAGTCAAATCTAAATTAAAGTTTGTTTATAAGAAACGGTGATTTTTTTCACTGTACCCAAAGAAAGGAATAATCAGTCAAACACAACAAAATTATCAAGAGTTGATAAAGACGTAACCTTCGGCATTTTCTGAGAACTTCGGTCTCTTCGAGGGTTCAGTGAATGTTTCTACACAATCCATACGCTGAACCCTTTCCTTCTACATATCATCTTTGGACATGTTTTCTCTTTTGAACTTTTTGAATTCTGACTCGACATTTTTCTTCTCGGATTTTATTTTGTCGTATTTTCGTTTTAGCACGCTACAATAGGTAGCCAGGTCCTGGGCACTCTGAGACTCATCACTTGAATCATCATACTGCTGTATGGCTTCTTTGATATCATCATACTGCTTGATGGCTTCTTTGATATCAACCTCACATTCTGCAAATGGATAATGTACACTTAAATATACAAGTATTGTACATATAAAATGATGTCAATGTACAGATGTACAAAAAAACTTTTAATTCTTACCAACAAAAGATTTTCACAAAATTCATGAAAAATGTTATAAAAAAGAGGAATTCAATATTCATTTCAATGCAAGTAAGAACTGAAGACCAAAACTGTTATAAAATCAAAAGAAGTTTGTAAAATGTAATACCTGTCAATAATCTCTCAATGTTTTGGAACTGTGGAAACTTTGGTTTAATCTCTGAACATGTCTTTTTTTTCCTTCTCAATTTTTTCTTCGAGGTCCATCACCTCGCGCTATGTGTCATCTCTCTCTGTTTTCACAGTCTTCATTTTTTTTCTTTAATGATTTAACTTTGGTCTTTGGCTGCTCTACACCAGTATCATCATTTCCGTTCTCATCATCCCCATCAGAAAAAAAAGACGATTTATAACTCGCGTGGGATCAACTGGACTGCGACAGCATGGACAGGTGTTAGATTTCTTCAGCCAGGTGGATAGAAATCCTTTGTAGAAAGTGTGTCCACACGGGAGGGCTGCTATGGCCACCGACTTGTCGATGACAAAAAGTTCAGAACAGATGCTACACTGGGCCTTCATGTCTTACAGTGGTATTATTGCCTGCAAGATAAATCTATCAAATCAAATTAAGGGGCGGTCCAGAAATTTTTATTCAGGGGGAGGGGGTCCACCCCTGTCAAAAATAATTTTCAACCCTGAACTTTCTTGACAAGCAAAAAAAAATAATTTGATCATAAAACGTGATAAACATATATCGGTCGGTGGGGATGGGTATAACATAGATTTGTGTTTCTGACAAGGGGTCACCGTTCTCTAAGGGGGAGCAGGGTCACTTTTACTTGGTTTTTGTATATATGTTATTTTATCATGCCAATTTATAAATGCAAATTTAAATAAGAGAATAAGAGAAAACAACATAGTTCAATATAGGCATATTGCAGATATTATACATACTGGCCAGTTATAATGTACATTTTATGCATCCTAAAAGAAGATAGCCAACTCTCTGTTCATAATACAATGTTTGTTTTGTTCTGTTTTTTTTTTTTTTGTATGTATAACAGTGATGATTTTGGACATTGTTGTGTATGCTCCACTGTGGGCCGAAATTGGTCGAATAAATATTCTAAATTCTAAATATATGCAAATTGCAAGGAGGGGGGATTCCGGTCCCCCACCCCCACCCCACCCCCTCTGGATCCCTGAATGGACATGACCCCACCAAGTTTTCCTTTGAAGTCATTAATTGTACAATAAGTGCAATACAGAACACTTTTTGTGAATGTTTCGTGTGAGTGTGTTTTATGCAAATCAGCAGAAACTATACTTCATCTGCAAAATATTAATGATACATTACTGTTTATTTTTAGTGATGACAAAAATTAAAGCTGTATCCATATGCAGACGTATGAATCGTTCAATTCGAATGATAATTCTGTTAGTATTTCACAAAATTTGAGGTGAATAAAAGAATAAAAATTTACACAAAATGATGAGTGTTAGATTACAAAATTCTGGAAAGGAGGGAATGGGGCGCAGTTCACAAATATTAACATAACATAGGTAATCAGAGATTACAGAACTCACCTTAACGAATGTTGTTTTTAAGTAAGGCAAAGTCACACAAGTACCCAACAAAAAGTTTACTTCCAAAATTGCAAAGTTTATGCAATTTTGATCTGATACTTTGGAATTGAACTACATAAAAACTTAAAACTAGTTCTTCATCACGAAAATGTGATCAAAATCCAGCATCTGAAGCAAGCTTAAGAGTTGTCATCCCTTGATGCATCATTTTGGCAAGTTTGGTTTATTTAAGCCTTATAGTTTCTTGGTGATAGACCTGCACCCATAACGTTTACCAGGTCCATTATCTGGATAATGTATGTCAAATTCAGCATCCGGAGCAAGTCCATAAGTATGCATCCTAAGATGTATCAACCATTCGAGTTTGCATAAAATAGGGCTAAAAGTTACTTAGAAATGAAACTTGCATAAAAATTCAACCTCTTCACTCATCCAGAAAAAAATGTAGGTCAGATTTTCCATCTGAAGCCAGACTGGTAGATTGCAACCTTAGATGTATCATCCTTGCAAGTTTGGTAATTCAAAAGCTCATCATTGTTACTTGGAAATGAATCCTGCATCAAATATTTTAACCTGTTCAATCATCCAGAAAAAGTAGGTCAGATTCAGCATCCGATGCAAGTCTAGTAGTATGCATCCTAAGATGTATCATCCATGCAAGTTGAATCATTATAGGGCTCATTGTAACTCTAAAATTAAACCTGCACCAAAAACTTTAACCTGTTTACTCATCCAGAAAATGTAGGTCAGATTCGGCATCCGAAGCAAGTCTGGAAGAATACATCCTAAGATGTACCATCCACGTAAGTTTGGTCATTATAGAGCTCATTGTATCTTGGAAATGAACCCTGCACCAAAAACTTAAACCTGTTTACTCAACCGGAAAATGTAGCTCAGATTCAGCATCTGAAGCAAACCTGGTAATGTGCATCCTTAGATGTATCATCCATGCACGTTTGGTCAACATAGGGCATATAGTTATTTTAAAATGAGACCTGCACCAAAAACATTTACCTGTTTACTCAACCAAAAAATGTAGGTCAGATTCAGCATCGGAAGCAAGTCTGGTAGTGTACATCCTTAGATGTATCATCCATGCAAGTTTGGTCAACATAGGGCCTATATTTACTTGAAAATAAGACCTGCACACAAAACATTAACTTGTTCACTCAACCGGAAAATGTAAGCCATATTCAGCATCCGAAGCAAGCCTGCTAATGTACATCCTAAGATGTACCATCCATGCAAGTTTGATCAACATAGGGCTTATAGTGCCTTGGAAATGAGACCTACACGAATAACTGCACCAAAAATGTTAACCTGCTCGAAAAACAGTCACCTGGTCATTCTTTTGCTGAAATTGCAGCATCTTAGACTTTGACTGGTACAATGAAACACATGAGAAGCATCTTCTACGCATGTGTAATCAATATAGGACACAGAAGTAATTAAAAAGAAAAAAGAATAACCTTAATCTGGGATGCTGACGCCGAGGGTATTACATAACCTCCCCAAACTTTGTTCAGGTGAGCTTAAAAGAAAAAATCGTTAATTCAAAATCAACCCTGACAATCTGTGTTATATTGTTAGGCTACGTATTGATATATTGAAAGGCATGTGTAAACAACTTTAGCAAAAATAATTTACGAAAGTCAAAAAGAAAAAGCTCAAAGTGGGGCACATACAGTCACGTATCAGTGTATGCTGGACCCCCCTTTGATAGCTCAACATGCCCTCTCCCCTCCTTTTTTCTCTTTTATCTGCTTATTTCAATTTTATAACCATTTAGGCAGGTGAGGCAAACGCTTCCCAATTTTTTTTTAGAGTTTTCTAAAAATTAAGGTTTTTATATTGAACTTATCTGTGTCTTCAAGCTAAATTAATATTTTCAACTTTTGTGTCAATTTCTGTAAATCGTTCATCCCACAAGGGTCTTATTTAAATTTTTATTTATATTTAGATCGTATGTAAAATATAATGTTAAAAGTTTGTTTTGTAATTTTTTTGATTTTTTAACATCCCTTCTAAGAATGTTTTCTTTCATATTGAGACACCACGACTTGCCGTTGGAGGGCTGTATGTTTTAAATATTTATTGGGCTTTCAGTGTCAAGGACGATGATTGAACAGTGAGATCTTTTTGATGCCATCACTTACTGTGACATAAGAGAAGGACCGGTCTCTACATCCCACAGTGGGATTCGAACCCGCGACATAAGCATCAACTCCTTAGTCTGTGACTCTAGAGCATACGTTCTAACCACTGTGCCATTCGGTAGACAATTCAACATGTAAAAACTTTCTAAAACTGAATCTTTTATTTTCTGATATCTAGGTTTCAGGATCACCCCTGTGCATACCGATCACTGGCCATCAGGCACCACATTTGCCACGTCTGGGACTAGGACTAGGAATGCCCAGCAGCCTTGCCTCACTAACAATGTGAGCCTAGATACGGCCTTGATTTTGTATATGAAATTTAAATGAAATTGTCATTAAATTTTATTTGGTGGTACATGTATAATAGGAGTAGCAGATAAGAGATGGGTATACCCTTCGATATTATTCAAAGAATGACAGTCCTTGTTCTGCTGTAAGAATCCAAAATTATATGTCGGAACAAAAAGTAGAATGGGTGCATAATGGCACTTAACAGGAGTTAATTGTGGAAAAGAGGTCGATACCCCAAAGCAGGACAGACAGACATCCAAATCACTATAACCCTCCCACTTTTCAAGAGAAGAGTATTATTAAAGTAGGAACACTTACTTTTAGCAGAACCCCATGCTTAGTCACTAGTGAGCTCTTTTTTTCACCGAAAAAGTACATTGTTATTTTAACACCTAGCTCCTCCTTTAGCCACCCATTTTTCTGTTGAAAATCATGAATCTTTCGGAAAGATCTGGAAACATTTATTACAGGACATGTTTTCAAAAGAAACAGGCTATAGCAATATCATGTCTACTGCCAATTTTATTTATAAAACCGGTTCTACCCTATAACCTTAAAATAGATCAACCTAAACCACGTGTCTTGAATTTAAATTACAATAACATTAGTAGGGGTGTCTTTGGCCAATTACACATTACGTTCTTTTGCATCGAAATATGTTAACTCACAAAAATTGAGGTACCTTGCATGTACCAGGCATTTATGCTAGATACCAGTGGATGGAATTTTTTATATATAATCTGTTAGGAGAAAAAAAACGTAGTTTGCCAAAATTACAATTTTAGAGTTTCAAATTAAAAAAAACAGAAACCGGGTTTAGAAATCAGAAAGTAATTAAGATTCTGTATATTTTGCATACATTATTAAGATTCACAAAACAGATTTTTGGGAAACGTATCGTCAGACCTAAACGAGGCTGGGTTGTGGCAGCCATTTTCAGACTATTTTGATCTCTTTTAAAAGAAGAGCTCCATATATAGATATACAAACATGATCAAATTTTAAAACTAAAATGTATGAATTTTTTCTTTGCCAAATGATAGTTGATAGCTTAAGATACCGTATCTAAAAAATAAGTTAAATCTGGTGGTTAATTCATAGTTAATTTGTTGACCCCCCAGCCTCCTTAAAATTAACCTGTTAATCTTGGCCCTAAGCCTGGTCTGACTGTTCGCTAAATGTTACTGTTGAGCCCATTTCAACGTTGGTTAGTAATATGAGCGTTAAATACAAACAAATATTTGTAAATTTACCAAAATAAACTATACCTTTCTCATGGACTGCTTGGACCATCTGACAATTGCCGAGTATCTGCTCAGGATTTTAAATGACTAGGAGAACACGATACCGGAAGTGGGACTATACGCATGGATCAGAGATCAAGAGATGAAATCAAGCATGAAATTAAATCAATTCTCAGAGGCGGATCTAAAATAACTTAAATATAAACAGTACTTGCCTCTATATTCGCCTGATCGAGTATTTCATTTTGTAAAAGGAAGCTCCAGGGGTGAATCAGAAAATTTTTATAGTATGAGAACA